CATTTTTAAAGGGTGTTTTTTTATTCAATTCTTATCATTCTTCTATCTGATATTTTAATCAAATGTTTTGCTTCTTCCAGCAATAAACAATAGCCGGTCACATCTCCTTGTGTTTTATCGATGTAAATATTTATGTTTACCCCTGTTTTGAAAAGATCTTCTTGATGAGCTGACAGATCGAAACAAAAGATTGGATGATTGAGCGAAAAATCTGTGTATTCAAACTGAGGCGTATTTCCAAACAATTCGCACATGTTTTTATAGTTTCTGTACAATTCGTTGTAATTTTTTTTGGAAGGATCAATTGTCAAAGGTTGATTGGGATAATTATCGTTGTTCAATCTGACTTGAACTTTGCGAATGATGGGATCTTGAGTATGGTTCAATGCCACTCTGAAAATGTTGTTGTTGTTTGTCTGAGAGTCTGGCAAGTTTTTGAAACCGACCATTAGATATCTCGCTGGTTTGATGGTGTTGGTGATTGGCCACGTGGTGGATTCTCCCGTTAAAGTCATGCTACCTACCGTGTTACGACGAAGAAAAGCAATTTCGATGTCTTTGGTTAAAGAGTTGAATATTCTCGTTTCCACTTCTACGGAAGGAGTGATTACCGGTATGTAAAGTTGGATATTCGTTATTTCCAATTTTGCGTCAGAGTTGTTTTCACCGAAGAATATCTTGTTGTCGTTGATTTCTCTTTGCAAATGAATTTTATACAGTAAACCTATGGAAACCTTTCTGTGTTCCAAGAGACCAAAAAAAGGATACAACTTCCAATTTACGTAATTACCCCATCTGTTGTTCTCGACGACATTGTTGTATTGAAGCGCTCGTTTTTCAAATCCGTGATTTACTCCGCGAGTCACTCTTTCCAGTGTGTTTCTAGCAACTACCCTTATCCTAGCAAGGTCTGCGTCATTTGCTACAGTTCTGGCCGGTTCTTTTAAAACTTCTCCGTCACCGACATCGGGAATCCATCCCGAAACTGAATCGTAGTTTTTGGGATAGAGAACCGTTTTCAAGATTGTGTCAAACTTGCCGGGGTGTTTTATGGTCTCTATCGGATTTGAACCAGCTTCCAAAACCATTTCGCTGAATAAAGACGGAAAGAAGTTGTTTTCTAAAGTCGTGTTGGTTTGTGGAATTCGATTCTGAGTGGCGTCTTTGATTTTGAAATCGCATCGGAAATGGGCATCGGAAAGTAGCAACCAATTGGACAACGAATTAATTTCAAAGGTAACTCTTCCTCCGTCGTTTATTTGGGTCTTTGTCCCTACCGATGGTGAGATGATTACGTAATCCTCTTTCTTCTTGTTGAATGAATATTGAATCGGATCATACAATTGAAAGATTGGATCCAATCTGTAATTTTTGCTTGCCATTTTTATCCGATGATTTTAAACCCTTTTCCTTGTTTTTCTAGGGCTTGTCGTTCTAGTCTCTTGTTTCTTAGTTCTCTTATTAGCTGTAGTTCTTTAAGTTCGTCAGATTTTTTCACTGCATCGCTAATATTTACTCCTGCTTTTGCCACAGATCCAAGAGCTTGCGCTTCTGAGGAAATGAGGGATTTGTTGTTTGAGACAAAATTGGCCACTTTGGGGATGAGAGATGTTAGCGCAGAGAAGAAACCGTCTCCTTCGAATTTTTTTTGTTCGTGTTTTAAAATTAAAGACATTTTTAATGCGGTTATTTTATACTGTATTATTATTAGTGATTCTTGTCTGTGGTTTGGGTAATTTATATGGAGTCTGTTATAATACAGTTTGGAGGAGTCTGTTATAATACAGTTTGGGGAGTCTGTTATAATACATTTTAACAGTTGTGTCTTTTCGGATATGACGCATTGAAAAAGCTGCGCATGCGCAGAAGTGAAAAGGTTCGGAAAATCATTTCATTTTGCATTACAGAATATAAAAATGAAAATTAATGTGGGTTAAGGGGATAAGATTTAATTGCTGAATGATATTGGTAGGCAACAAATATGAGTTTATGCAAAACTGTATTATTGTATATAGTGTCTATGTTTTGCCATCTCACTCACCAAAGTGAAAGACTATTTCACCCTGGGTTGGAGCGTTTATAATGCCTGAGTTAATCTCATACTATGGTGTCTGTGTATTGCCATTTCATCCAAAACATCTAAAGTCTGAGTCTGAGTTGAGGAATGTATGATGCCAGAATTGATCCGACATTATGGTGTCTGTGTATTGCTAACTCACCAACCTCTTCTAAAGACCCTTTCACTCTGAGTTGAGGAATGCATAATGCCAGAATTAACCCAATTTTATGTGGTCTGTGATTATTTAAGATAGGCATACATCTAACACTCACTCAATATTATGACGTCTATATATTATGTATTGCAACTTCATCAACTACTTTTGAAAAAGACTCTTTTACTCTGAGTTGAGGTAGGCATACCTCAAGCAATAATATTATGGTGTCTTTATTGCCACCAACCACTTTTGTTAAAGTCTTTCATACTGCCAGCATTTGGTAAAATTAAAACGTCTGACCCTTTCAAAATAATTTCAA